GAACCTGGGTTTTTTCCGAGAACTCCGGTTGCCTTCCACATTAAGACCCCCGCTCCCCAACGCCGAAAGACAGAATAAAGAAGGGTGTCATATTGGCAGAAGGAAGGAGGAGAGTACACTGGCAGACAGTTGGGAGGAACGGTAGTCCCGTATGAGTTTGGTTTTTAAAAAAATAACTCAAATTTCGATCAACTGATAGCATTTTCTGGGGATATTAAAGGTCGCTGTTGTTAAATATTGAGATGTCGATTTTCTTCCTAACCATTTAATCTAGCGAAAATGTCCTGCGGGATTAGCTTGCATGAAAAGCAAATGTCATATTTGGTTCTGTAATGCAATATTCTGTTTATGGAAAGAAGCTGTGGAAGATTTGTGTCGCCTTTAGTGAAACAGTACGTCTGATAGACTAGCATAGCTAGTCAGTAGTCATGTACTTTATATAAAAACAAAATGACAACAATTGTTCAATAACATTCGGTCATACAACCATATATAGTCCAACAAAATATGGCGCCTAAATAAGGCATTCCGTAGACGAACCGAGAGAACTCATCAAAGGGAGATGTTAACTGTTTACGAGTTATGTAAAATGTATGTTGTGCCAATATCGAAGACATGAAATATTTATTAAAATCTATTTAATTTGTTTAGTATACAAGAAACCAACCAATAACTTACTCTGATTTCAAACCCGATGTTGCCAGTTTCATCAAACGGAACTGGCAGCGAGATGGTCAGATAACACAAACAATAGACTATTTGTAATTCAACCAACAGTGGGTTCAAACCCCCTATCAGAGAAGACCGTACAGAGGTGGTCGTCTTCCCTCTAACGGGACCTACCTATTATGGTCATGAATACCTGCTTCGACCAGAGGATCAGCTCTTCAGTTATTCATGTGACAAATGCATGACTGTGCCTCACACGTTGTTCAAATGTGCCGAATTCAGACAGACGTGAGACCGTTATTATGATGTGTCTGATATCAACAAGTTCCATACAGTTAATTTGTAAAACAAACAAAAAACAAATATCTGCGTGAAATTGATATAAATCCAATAAATTTTGAAAACACTAATTGTGATAATATCTCACAATTTGCTGTATACGTTGTAGACTACTTAAGAATGCAGCTTTTAACCTTTTATCATTCAGTTTCCTTTTGATGTTTTACGTTTTGTGTCCCTTATTATTGTTGTCCGGCCCGATAGGACCTTACCGTTTGGCCGTTAAGCAACTTAAAAACTAACTACCTCATTGGTTTAGAGTTGTCACGTGATTACCTCTTAGTTTTCGATACTAATTCATTATTGCATAAGAAAGGAAAATGGCGGCGACCATGCCCATCGCTCCAAAAATGCATCAACTGGTATTTTCAATCATTACAATAAAGTAAGGTAATAAAAGTTGCCTCTCCTATCCCAGATGTACAACAGAACGGAGACGGCAGGAACAGGTCGTGTTCCTCTAGCCTCGTTTCCAGTTTTCCAATTATGGAGAACTCGAACCTTGGTTAATTTCACACTATGTTCTTCTGGAGGACACATTTGCTATAATTTTGCTCGAGAGCTGATTTTCACAGGTATGTTTCAACTTTTCAAAGTAATTATATTGTTACCTGGAAAAGCATTCATGACTGACTTTAAGATGAATTTACTTAACTATATCAACAGGACTGATATTGATATTGAAATTCAATCTCAGAGGCCTAACAACAACTTATGTTTCTTGTTACTCATATTCATTATATAACGAGCCAACATATTTGAAATGCAATCCATTCGTAACACCAAAAAGGAAGCAGTAGTTAAAGCTGTGGTCTGACGTCATATTTTGCGCGGAGTGTTATAGGTAGGCCGTTAACAAGCTCAAATACCGCCTGCAGGAGCATAAACCGCAGCCAAGTAGTTTAAGCATTGCTTAGCCGGGAAAATGATGGGTGCAATCTTCGAAACTAGAATTATGTCAGTGTGACATTAAAGCCGCTCACCACTTTAAATTTAATTGCTTCAGTAACACGTTGAGCATCAATATCTACTATAATACCTCAGATATGTGTTCTGTGTTCTGCTAATTGAAAATCAGGTGTGACATGTGATGGTGTTGCCTTTGGGATTTCCAAAGTCAATCACCTCTTAAATGATGCCTTAAAAACATTTCTCCCCCTCCTCTTTTTTCGCCCTCTTTACGTGTTACGCATTGTTGTATTTTTCATTGATTAGGAGTTGTGTCATGTTCTTAATTTGTTACACTTTCATAAATACATACACTAGAAATAGCATGCTATGTTAAAGAAATGTTTGATAAGCATACACAGTTCACATATCGTGTCGTCTCAGAGTCGGAGCCATTACCATTGTCAACCTAGGCACGGTATGCCATATTACGTTCCTGTTTGAAACATCAAAATAGAGGTTATACTTCATCACTTATACGGTTTATAATTATATTTATTTACTTCTTCCTTCTACAGACAGCGTCAATGATTGACAGTCTTCACATGTGTTTTCTCGAATCATATGTGACACTCATCAGACCCCAATCCGAGTTGCTAAAACGCTCAAACTCAGTGCACGAATTTCACGACCACAACACTCGTAGATTGCACAACACTGGAGAAGAGTATCAGAAGACTTTATGTAACCCACAGGTGAGTGTCAGAGATTCTACTTTCTATTTACGATAATTATATAACGAAACGATATAGCGGAAGCATGCAAGACTGAATTATGCGCACAAACCCCGAACGGGAGTGGGTCCGTCATTTCGATCTCTGGACAGAATTAATAAGCCGCTCGGCTTAAAAATAAATTCTGCAGTGATATTTCGTTTTCGTTTGAGGACAAAAATATCATCAATGCAATAAATCTGTTTGACATTGTAGATATTGAAAAAAAACTCGTTATTTAACCATAAAGGTAAGATGTAGTGGCCCGAATGTTCCGGGATGCGTCCTTTCTCGCTACACATCTTAATTATAGAGAGGGCCAGTAACAGATCTCAAACGTATTGTAAGATTTCAACATATGATAATGCGGAAGATTACTTTGAAATGGATTCACTGTCCATTAATGAATGTTATGCTAGTCTATCAGACGTACTGTTTCACTATAGGCGACACAAATCTTCCACAGCTTGTTTCCATGAACAGAATATTGCATTACAGAACCAAATATGACATTTGCTTTTCATGCAAGCTAATCCCGCAGGACATTTTCGCTAGATTAAATGGTTAGGAAGAAAATCGACATCTCAATATTTAACAACAGCGACCTTTAATTTCCCCAGAAAATGCTATCATTTGATCGAAATACCAAATTTTGGATGAGTGTCAATAAGGCTCTGTTTTGGGCCCCGGTATTTTCGGATTTTCACCTCTTTAATTTGTTCAAAGATGTCCTATTGTATAACATGCAGAAAAAAAAGAAGAAAAAAAAACATTTCTGGTTTTGAAAACATGTGTAAATTAAACAGGCAAATTCAATCGTCACTTAAAGATTGTTTATATAAAATGGAGGATTAATTCAGGTGGCTGTTTTAGGTAATTTTCAAATGAAAAGTGTTTTGTTTTCTCAATAATTTCCTTTCTAATTTATATTTTGAGTTGAAATTTACAACTTAACGTATTTGAATACGCTTACATAAAATGCATATTCATTATACACTTTCCTTTTGTTTTATACTGAGTTATGGCTTCTGAACACATCTGAAACTTGGCTATTTCAAATAGTATGAAACTAACTAATATATATGCCAAGTTGCATACTTATTCCAAAATGCCTTTTATGTACAATCAGCTCTTGTTATTAGAAATAGACAGAACAATTGATAAAACACTGAAATAGGTTAATTGTAACGATTAAAACAGACACTTTCTGTGAGGCTAGAAGACTTAAAATTACCAGCAAACCAAAATACATATATTACATTAATCATTTTACATTAGTTTTGGTGATAAATGCCATTTTTTATTTGTAAGTTAATAAAACAAATCAGGACCTGGAACTCATTTCAGCCGCAGGTGTTGAGTAAATATTATATGATGTATATAATATACAATATTAACAATTGATATATTATAATTATAGCATATATAGGCTGTCCTGCATCTTTTGATTCACTTAGAATTGAGATATTTGAAAATAGCCTAGTTTGAGATGTGTCCAGAAGCCATAACTCAGTATAAAACAAAAGGAAAGTGTATAATGAATATGCATTTTATGAAAGTGTACTCAAATAAGTTAAGTTGTTAATTTCACTTAAAATATAAATTAGAAGGGAAATTATTGAGAAAACAAAACACTTTTCATTTGAAAAT